AAAGACTCTGCCTCGTGCAGTCAATTGCGTAGTGCTGGATTAGGCTGGGTATGTGACACGCATTGGAGGAGGAATAAAGATCTCGGAAATTGTGGTTCCAATGGTTTGTATGGAGGATGAATCTGTGGATTCCTTGATAATACTGAAGGGGTTATTAAGCAAATGGACTGAAGATAATAATGGAGTTAATGTACTTCATAGGCGACATATTACCATGGCGTTGGCTAACCCTTGGTTCCAAACCAGGAAGGGGGAGTGTTGTTCGTTTGTAATATTTGAAGTCTGAAGGTCATGTAAATAACAGGTATATAAGGATTCAGGTCGTACCTCACAGGAAACACATTATGTCTCCATATTAATGCTGTTTAGGGAAATAATCGCTATTGTGAGAATCATACGGAACACACAAATACACTGTGTGGGCAAGATGAATATTATTGCATGTTGAACCAAGTGGTATTTATAGTTACCACTCTGCTTTATGGGGTTATTCATTGTGTGTGCATCTGTATATACACTCTTCTATGCTGTCACCTATTGTGGGTACACAAAGCTCTCCGAAGGCAGCGTCGCCAGTTTTAAAAATAATGTGTCTCAGCCTTGCAGAGGATTGCTAACCAGTTTACAGGAGGTGCCAAAAGTATTTTAATTTCTTGCCACACTCTGTTTCATCGTATGCGGGACAGGTTCCGGCTCGTGTATGACACACCTGAGACTCCCTGCCCTTTGAGTCAACTTCCTCTGTTCCACCTTGAGTAATGTTGTAGTGTATCAACCCTCCGAAGCCCGAAGAGAGAAGCGAGGGTTGTCTGCAGTTATCAGTACATCTGCCATGACGCATCAGTATTGGGTCCAGCGCAGAGTCAGAAGATATGAATAATGTTATTTGGTTATTTGCGTCATTGCGATATCTTCTTTCACCACATCACATATGTTAATGAATTGTCGCCCGAACTTCATGTGAATAATATATATAAATTCAGTCCGTACCTCACAGGAAACACATTACGTCTCCGCTACAAAGTCCAACCGGTTAATGCTGTTTAGGGAAACAGTCGCTGTTTACTGTGAGAACCATACGGAACACACAAATACACTGTGTGGGCAGAATGCAGAGTTTCCTTGATGTTAGAGCAGGAGGTATATGTAGCTACCGTTGTGATTTGAAGAGTAATTGGTCCCAAACTGAGATAACGGCGATCGTTTGCGTTTGTCAGCACGACTAGGAATGACATTCCGAGACTCTGTGATGGCTTGATGACTGATCGGTTTCAAGCCTCCAGGTAATCCTAGCATTGCGGATCATTGTTTGCATGGACGGAGATGTCACTGTGATATTTGATCTTGTCAGAAGACGCGTGTATTGATGTAACTTGAAACTGGTATTGGATTCCGCACAGAACCTTTCTCTAGAGAAGCTTCAGATGTGGCTGTTTGAGCCATGTTCACGTATCGGTTCCCGCGACTCAGTCGGTAGATGGACTGCTGCAGAGTCTATTCAGAGTAAGAAATATTGCATTAAGCTGTAAGTGACGTACGGCCCAGTCGGTACACTGGCTAGTGCTCAGGATGGAGACCGAGGAATCGAGGACCGATTTACGTCAAGGAATGCGTCCATACGCCTGCACGCGTACTATACTGAGGCCACGGAGAGAAGTCCCACGGATAGTGGGGATGTCCGCGCTCCAAGGTTCTCATTGCCTGCATTCCTGTGAACGGAGGGGACTTGCCTGGAGAACTGAGGAAAGCCATGAAACTGCCAGTCAGTATGGCCGATGCCCCTGCCGATTTGGAACCAGAAAGTTACCGCTACTTCTGGGGGTTAGGGCAGATGCAACCCAGTTTCGTACGAAGGGCAGTCTGCGCCCTGAGCGTCCAACAGACGCTGTCCGTGAAACGGTCTCACATGACGCGTACGTGGACAACTTGTTACAAGCTTGTCTGAGGTCAGCATCTGTACCTCCACTCCGCTATGCGACCCGCCGATTAGCGTGAGAAAGTTCGTGGGCCACAGTTTGAGAAACGTGCATGTTTACCGCTTGGTGGTGCACCAGAACTCTGTGAGTCCCTGCTGAGAGCGGTGGGCAGTCTCTTTTATCCCGTGCGCCATGACGTCAGCACAAAAGGATCCATTAACTTCGACATCCGGCTAATGGTGAGGATATGAGAAATGAGGCGCGCTGGGGCAGTTGCACCGTGCCCAGGTACACGGCCCACCCGGCGCATTTGGGCCTGGATGGCGACCAGTGGCGGGCTCTTGTGAACACGGCACAAAAGGCAAGGAAGCCCTTCTTGAGTAGATGAGCGAGTATCAGCTTCTGGGTGCGTTAGGATCTGGTCTGTAGGGTCAGAATTTGAGACGACGTGGAAGGAAGCAGTCGTGGCCTAATTTGAAGTGCTGTCCCAGTACTTTCCTGCATGACCTGAGTAAATCTGGAAAATTTAGGCACCGAGGTTTGTCCTTGTGTAAATTTTTAGGCACCGCGTATTATGATATTGATATGAAAGGCAACCATATCCCGGGCGACGAACGGGTACTCCTGCTTATCATTGGTTGGGGGCTGTGTGCTCTCCTGAATGGAGCAGTCTGCATATTACCCGAAGCACTTGTGTGTGTGGTTGAGCTGTAAGTGGACACAACCTTGAACATGCGATGTAACGCGACTTGGCTGGCCGGCCGACCGGCTGGCGTGCCCTTGCCCGGATCTCACGACTCAAGGAAACAGTGCCGCCACTCTACCTGTCTGCGCCAGCTTGTCAAGCGTTGCAGGTCGTGTCATGACACTGGATTACGGTGCCTTCATCACGGTGTAGTTCCCGCGCCTTCTTTCTCTGTCTCATTTCTCTTACTGTATACGCCAGACGCGAGTTTCTTGCTTTGGAGGTGTATCAACTGCTAACGTTGTGTGGCAGGTTCTGTATATGAACTCACGGGAAGCGGGTATAGCCCCGTAATTTCCTACAGGGACTCGTTAAAACGAAGCTTTGATGTTAGGGGGTCGCCAATTCCGGTTTCAACCGCATTACATACCCCGTGTCTCAAAACGTACTGTAAAGAACTGTGCTATCAATACGTACCCCCGCTTTAACGCAGAAAGTCTGCATTCTGCCCCACAGTGTGTTTATGTGTTCCGTACGGTTCTCTCAATAAACAGCGACTGTTTCCCTGAACCGGTTGGGCTCTGTTATGGAGGCGTGATGTGTTTCCTGTGAGGTACGGACTGAAGTTTGATATATTATTTTGATTGTCATACACAAATGTTTGATGCTCATCCAAATTATGCAAAAGAAAAAAAATGTAGAAACAGATGTAAACTTTTAAAATAAAGCAACAGCACAGATAGGGTCTAATGTTAGGTCTCGCGCATTCAATGCCAGGCTGCTGGCTAGAAGTCAGTTTGCATCCGGAAGGTCCTGCGACCGGCCAACTCGACCAAGGTTTTCCTGGTTTTCCTCGGTCCTAGAGCAAATACTGAGTTGGTACCCAAATTCCACGTTGCACTGCATGCCTCACATGCAGCCCTCCCATTGTTAACATAAAAATTTAGCCCTAATATAGCCCTCCCGACGTTAGCAAAAAAATGTTACTATAATGTACCCCTTCCAGCGTCATAAAAATATATAATATATTAAAAAAATCCGATTAAATGCTCTATCCATACCAGAAGGACAAGCGGGCACTGTCTGGGAACCTTCAAAATCGGAGATATAGTTTCTTACCCCCCCCCCCACCCAATGTGTCTCTCATTACCACCCCCACTTCTTCTTCAACCTGCATTCAGGCTTCAGAATGTTCCCATCTTGTGACCGGCAGAAAACGTGGGGAAGGTGTTCATGGCAGCTACACTGCAGACAGTGACTTTCGTTATGACGAGAAACAAACAATGTTACACCGGCTTGTGATAAGGCAACCAATTGGTGCAGTGTGGCCACAGGATCGCCAGAAATACAGCGAGCGCTGCGCTACAATTGCCTTTCACCGATTGAGGTCAATGGATTGTACAACTGACGTGTAGGAAGTGTGACGTAGTTTCCCGCGCTCTGTTTCCATTGGTTCCCGGCCACAAGGCCGCAACTTGTGAAGCCCAAGCCATGTTGAAATGCTAAGCGAGGTTGTACCCAGCTAAGTGCTTGTAATTAAACGTTCTACTTCAGCAGCGATATCTCACTCTCTTCTCCAGCTTTCCTTCACTTCGTGAAGATAATTCACGGCACATATCGGCATAGCGCACGCTCGTTCGTGATGAGTGAAAAATGATTCATTCATATTCTGTCCCTCGCTCTTATGTTTTATTTCTCCTACACGACGTTCTGGTGTGTGACACCATGTAGTCTGGTAGAAGTTCGCCGACGTTTCGGGGCGAATCTGCAGGGTATATGTGTAAGCGGAGGATGCAGCCAGCAAGAAACAAGAGGCAAGAAATATTTGCCTTACTCACTTCTCACTTGCTTAGATCTTCGACCCTGAAGATGGAGGCACCGAAACGTCGGTGAACTTATACCGGGCTACACGGCTTCACATTCCAGAAGATTTTGACGCAACATTTGTTGGTCCCTCGATATTTACATAGTTCTGTTTCTCTGAATGTGACTTCATAAATGTACTGACACTACTGACATCCTCTGTCCTACAGACAATAACAAAAGTTCGTGTACTGTCAGTGGCTACAGTGACATGCTAAGTCCGTGCTGGCATTAGTAACTCGCATTAACATATACGCTGTGTACCTCTGAAATAGCCCGAGTTTCATCTTCTTAACTTTAAAGTGAATCACAGAGGAACACAGTGTGAGGGTGTGGGCTGGAGTCACCTGGCTCAGAATAGGGTCCAGTGACAGGCTTTTGTTTGCACGGTAATGAACCTTCGGGTCACATCAAAGGCTGGGCGGCTATCAGCTTCTCCTGCCGCGTGGAGGTAGTCTCTTGCGAATTTGGCGATGCTAACAAGTGCAGCTGTCCGAGATACCAGTTGTTAACAGCGTGTTTCTTGCTGTTCGCAGGGGTATCGCAACAAGGTGTCGCGAGCGTCGCAGCAACAACAGCAACAGCAACAACAGCAACAACAGCAGCAGCCTCAGCCGCAGTCAGCACCCGCCGTGGTCAATGACAACACCATGATGACCAGCGTGCCCGGGACAACAGTGAGTACCAGTTAGGAAACAACACACTTGGAAGACCAAGTCATGGGAGGATAAATAATATTGAAATGCAGGTTTCAGTGGCGGGCTTTTTGTGATGGATGTGATGAAGTTCCGGGTTCTGTCGCGTAGAATTTCTTCAATCAGCTGAACATCTGTCAGAGTCTGAAACAAGTTTGTCAGTTTGTTAGGCTCCGAGTTAATGAAGCAACTGACGCTGCTAACGGTTGTTTTATCCTCCATAAAACATGGACCTGACCAGAGTTCATGGTCACCCAGCTGGTCAAGGAAGTCATCGCTACTGGGCCCTATCCAGAGCCAGATGAATCCAGTTCACACTCTCACGCTATACTTAAGATATTCCCTCTTTGTATTTCTGAAATTCCTGCTGGTTTCACGTCTTATATTTTTCAGATTATCCCCATTTAACTCGCTTGGATCCTGTAACCACTGCAATTTGGCCTGCTTCCTTTGATCTAATAATTTTGAGCATCCTTAATCGAACCATGGCTTATGCTTCTTCAGTTCGTGGTAGCTTACACTCTCTTCGGCAGAAACTTTGTTATTCCCTCTAATAGCGTCCCAAGTTTTAGTAATATCCACCTCGGTGCCGCAAACCTATTTGAGATTTCAACACGACACTGCTCTTTACCCTCTACCTCATTTAATTTCTTGAGATTGAACCTCTCCATATGAACTCTGTGTGCTGTTTCTTTGCTCACTGCCAGTCTTTCCCTAACCTTTGCCACCACCAGGTAGTGGTCAGTATCACAATCTGCTGCCCTGAATGATCAGACATCAAGTATACTCGAATGCCATCTCCTGTCTATCAAAATATGGTCTATTTGATTGTGTATCTTCCCATCAGGAGATGTCCAAGTAAATTTATGGATGTACGATGTGGGAACATTGTACTTTTGAAGATTTTTTGATGTGGCAAAGTTTACAACTCTAACTCCATTATCATTACTAATTTCATGCAAACTCTCATTCCCAATTGTTGGTTTGAAAATGTCTTCCCTCCCTACTTTGGCACTGAAATCTCCTAACATAATTTTCATATGGTACTTAGGGAGTTTATCGAATACATGTTCTAGTCCTTCGTAAAACCTGTCCTTATCATCGGTTGTATCTTCTGTTGGGGCGTGAACATACACAACAATGATATCACACCAGCGACCTTTTAGTATTATATGTGATATCCTATCACTAACGAATTCTGCCCTCTTAACTGCTGATACGATTCTCTTATGTACGAAAAAACCTGTACCTAATTCATGATTTTCATTCCCCTTTCCATAGAAAAATGTATAGCCTCCTGCTGGTGCGATGCCACTTCCGTCCCATATGACCTCCTGTACTCCCGCTAAATCTAACTTATATTTTGAGATTTCTTCTGCCTCTGCCCTGAGCGAACCTGACCTATACAAACTTCGTACATTCCAAGTGCCGAATCTCATATCCATTTTCTTTAGCTTAGGTCGTTTATCCACGGAATCCATCCAGGTCCGAGGCCTCTTGAGAATTTTCGTAACAAGCTCATTCTTTACGGCGAGGAGTTGTTAGCCCCATGCCCAACTCCCAAGTTGGAGGCCCACCCCTCCTCGACTGTCCGCTACTGCTTATTCAATATGTTCGTAGCTTCCCTCCATACCTGGAGGCCGTCTCCTCCATCCGCAACCTGAGGACATGCCATGCCGTGGTGACAGGGACCCACTTAACATGGAGCCAAATATTAATACAGAGAAAACTGAAATTATTTCGAAATGTGTTCTGTCCTGGATACTCTAGGACGATCAGTAAAAATAGTCTTTAATAACACAAACGTAAATTTCGTGCAGGCTCACTAGCCCTCCCCTCCCAGGGAGAACTGGCTGGGGCCCCTGGAAAGTCAAGTGAGCAAATAGGAAACGCGTTTTTGGAACTTTCACACGACGCCGGTGGCTCCGTGTCCTCCCCCTGCTCGAAGAAACGTCTCACTCCACAGCTCGTTTGCCCGTGACGTGTCGAGAGAAAGTCAACACTGCGTAGAATGGCTTCAGTCTGCAACCTATGGCCACACAACAGGGCGCTTGCAACGAACTTCTGCATGATATATAAGAATTCAGTTCGTACCTCACAGTAAACACCATGTGTCCATTATAAAGTAGTTACAAACGCTTTGAGTTATGTCTGACGTACACATAGATTTTGTTCAAGTCTTTCCTTCTTTTATTCAAGTTTTTCACAACAATAATAATAACGATAATGATGATGATGATAATATTAACATTGGTATTGATGCAGCTCTTGCATTTCTACAGCGTGAAGATGAGGGTAGTGTTCCCGACGTTTGGGAAGTATCTGCTGTCTCCATCTATATGGTACAAGTGGGCTTTGATCCTGAATATGGAGACAGTTGGTACCTCCCAAACGTCGGCAGCACTACTCGCACCTATACGGCCTAAAGATCCATGTGCTGAATTAATATCAATATTGAACCACAGTGAAAGCCTAAACTCAGGATGCATGAACAACAGAAGGAAAGTAGGCTTTGCGTGTGATTGTTTGCTTGGCCGCACGTGTTTGTGCGGAACCTCCGCCAGGGGTCGTTGTGCTCCTTTATCGCTCGTCCGCTGCTCTCCACGTGGGAGCTCACTACGCTACGCGGCGTTACGTAACGCGGTTGTATGGAGCACACAATGGACGTCACTTGCAGGCAGAACGGTAGCCTACGCTCTGCAAATAGCCTGGCGCTGTGGATTCATTCACTGATTCCACTTCTGTAACAGCGTCAACATGTTTTTGCGTACTTGAGAGGGTAATATGATTCTTAACCCTTCAAAAGCACAACATTACAACGACGTAATGTGTTTCCTGTGAGGTACGGACAGAATTCTTATATATAAAGTCTCTGCATTCTGGCCACACAGTGTATTTGTGTGTTCCATGTGATTCTCACAATAAACAGCGACTGTTTCCCGAAACAGCATTAACCGCTTGGTCTCTGTAGCGGAGACTTAATGTGTTTCCTGTGAGGTACGGACTGAATTTTGTATATATTGTTTAGATCTATTTCTGTTTCCTAGTCGATGGTTTTCAAATGCTGGCCCGGAGAAGGAGTATCTTGACTGTTTTTCGTGATTTTCCTTAGCCCCTCCAACAAAACGTAAGAATAGCACTCAGATGCGAGCACTGTGTACCAAAGTGAATGGGACGGAACTGTGAGCCAGCTAAGGGAAAACGGTGGCCCTTAACAAAGATATGTGAGAGGAAAAGAAGTAAGGAAAGAGGTTTCTTCGCCTGACTTACACTTCCACGCTGAAAATGGAGGCAACGGATTCCTCCAGAATTTTAATGTCTGTCGGACTACACAGCGTCAGCTTCCTAAATGGCAAGTCTTATACGAGACATAAATGCACTGGATGGGCAAAGTGCAGAGTTCTTTTGGGATGGGATGAAACATTCCATTCATAACCTTCGTCGTGTCTGTTGTCCGTCTGTGTTTCCCGCATGAAAGAACTCGGACCTCTGTAGATGGACCGTCATGACAGTTTACGTTCAGGAGTTTTGCTAGAATCTGGGACAGAATCGTTCTTTTTATTTAAAATAAGTAAAAATAACACAAATATCAACACGAAACCCCAGATTCGTTTCAGGCACATTTAAGAATATTTCTCTTACAGCACTGCCGAGAGTATACAGGGCCCCCATGAGGGCGGAGCCGTGGCCATCGCATTTCGTATCTTCAGAGCCTAAATATCCGAACGCACTTCAAATGTCACGTTATACGTATGTATCCTATCTCGTGGTGGTGGTGGCGGGCCCTACATGTCGTTGCCACTGAGCTGTGCCGAGGCTTACGCGTGCGCCAGTACAGATGGTAACAGCATCTAAGTGCAGTGTATTCTTGCTGTAATGGAGCTCGCCGCTTACCACTAATTAGCTGGTCCAATATGCCGAGCCTAGGTGGCAGCAGCAGCACTGCCCATTTGCACAGCGCTCATAATGAGCAGGCCTGAGTGCCAGATTTATGGGTGCTTGACCGGGCGCCCTCTACCTCAGCATCTCCTCGCGATGCTCAGCCGGTAGTTCTGTTCTCGCAGGGCTAGATTTTCTCTCGTCGCCACTCTGCTCAGACATTGCACTTGGGATAAGGCAGCCGCAGCTTGTAGCTAATGCTGAGGTCAGCAATTACTCTTTACAATATTACCCTCTTGATATTATTGGCAGGTAAATTCCGGGTGCAAATAACCGCATCAGTTGTCACTCCCTAATCCTTTAAAGAGAAATGGTAAGTGTATGTACCAGTTACGTTAACATTAAAATACTCCGTCTTTTGTCCCACACAGTGTACTTATGTGTTCCACATGGTTCTCACAATAAACAGCGACTGTTTCCGTAAACAGCATTAACCGGCTGGGCTCTGTAGCGGAGACGTAATGTGTTTCCTGTGAGGTACGGACTTAAATCTTATATATAAAGTCTCTGCATTCTGCCCACGCAGTGTATTTGTGTGTTCCATATGGTTCTCACAATAAACAGCGACTGTTTCCCTAAACAGCATTAACCGGTTGGTCTCTGTAACGGAGACGTAATGTGTTTCCTGTGAGGTACGGACTGAATTCTTGTATGTGTGTAGGTTGTCTTCTGACTGGCAGAAAACCAGGGGAGGCTCTTGTGATCATTCCGTCTTTCCTTCGGCGCTCATATGTTGCTGCGTCCTTGAGCTAACCAAGAAAGACCCCGACAGCGATCAGTAGTTGGTCTTATCTTATTCTACGTCCTCCGAGATGGGGGCAGTAGTTGGCTTCTGCCACACTACACGGCGTTACATTCCTGAAGAAAGTTCTCTTGGTATTCATCTCCAAAATAGCCGTTCAAGTACGGGCTCGTAGCGAGGCATGGTGAGATATGTTGGAATGCGACGCCGTGTTGTCTGATAGATTGTCAGATAGGCAGTGATTGTTTTCTTTTTTCGACAAAAAAATTACGCAATTAATATGTTTGGGAACAAACGAACA